TATAAATATTGACATTAATAAACCTATTATAGACAACGTCAATTGCTGCATGACTGTTTTAGGTAACCTCCTGTCTCCAAACAATGGAGGGACATTGATTCCAGCATTTCATCACCATTCCATCATGCAGGTCTACCTGGCAGCAATACTATCCAGCAATACCACATAATCATTGACTGGAAGTTTCCCATTCACATCAAAAGCTGAGTTTATCAGAGCCTGTGATTCTTTGCAGCTGAAGACATTCACCAAGGTGATGTGTTTATGTCTGTTTATTTAACAAGCCCTTCAGCAGAGGTGGTCCTCACTGTCACACTGTAGATCAAGCAATGTCAGTAATTCTGGGAGAGCTACTTACTTGTTCTCTTTCTCACTGTTCTAATAGATGTCACCTGCCTGCACGAGCTGGGGAAAAGTAAGATCTTTAATGTACATTACAGATACGAAATATAATGTGCACTATTATCTACATACGGTTTCTACTGAAAAGTTTAAAAAGTCATTTGTTACTGTGATATTTAAGTATATACTCCTCTTTGATGCAAGACATTTGTTATCTAGTGGTTTCAACCACTGGAACCACACATCTCTTTACATTGCTCAGCACAAAAGTCACTTACAAATGTTTCTGATTATTTTGTTAAAGCACAACACAGTAAGGCTTTGATCAGGTAAGATGCTTAAGCAGCAAGTTTAAGCACACAAGTAATCCCAGTGAAGTCCCAAGGATCCATTCACGTGCTTAAATCCATGCTCTCCTTGGTAGGTCAAAACTTAAAATAATCAGGCTACAGCTTATAACTCAAACTCTTCTGTACAGATGAATATTAAAAAATATAATAGAAGGCTGGAAAAAAATATTCTTGCTAGCAATTAACTGGGAAACAGAACCTTTAAACAAATAATAAAAAAAGTTTAAAAGTCAGCAGAGGAAAAAAAGAAACTGATGCAGACTCCAGTTTTACATTGCCACTCCTGATAAAGACATTGTGTGTCAGTCCAAGGAGAAATAAGAAGAAAGAGCCTGGTGTTACTTTCTTCTCACATCTTTGCAAGAAGATGATAAAAAGAGTACGACACATCTTGTGTATCAGCATCTGGCTAACAGATTTAGACATCTGTCTACATCACTGGCAAATTTCTCAAGCCTTATCAAGTCTCAGTAATTAGAGATGGGACTTATGCATTTGCCACACTGAAGGGACTGCAGCCCTTTCGTGCATACTGGCCAATAAAACATGGAAAGAAATGATGGCATGTCCATGTACAAAACATCCCCTTCAAAGTAAACACCCTGGTAGCTAGTGTTAATCTTTTATGGGGAAGATGACTACAACAGGTATAAAACAGAATAGGCTTTTGATATGAAAAACAAATCAAAACAAATCAGCTGCATTTAAATTTGGGAATTGCTGGTATCTCCGTATAAAGGACGAGATTCATAGTCTTGCCATACCCCTTAACAAAGAGGAAAATAGTCCCCCTAGTGTACTCTCCATGTAGAAAAGACTGTTTCACAAGATAGTGCTGCAAGAAATTACAAAATAATGTTGTGGGAAGAGGTATGGAATTATCTAACCGGTAGTGAAACTAGGCATCTCTACTACGTACACAGGACAAAAAGGTTTTTCAGTTTCCTATTTCAAGATTATTGAAGGAAGTGAGTGCTTCACCCTAAATACTTGCAAAGTAAACTTGGTTTTTAAGTCAGCACACTAGTTTTGTGACTGCAGGATTTGATTAGGTAACAGATACCTGAATGAGGAAAGATCTAGTCATCGAGGAGATCTGTAGAAGTACCTGGAACAGTCACCTGGCACAGTGCATTTCACAAGGGCGAAACCAGCTCACCCTGGGATCATCTTCCCTGCTCCAGTGATGACGAAGATAAATGCCGACCTTCCCTAAATATTCAAGATAGAAGCAGATATTGGAACATACATGGAAATCCTCTCCAGTGGTTTGGAAGTGTACGGGATTGCACACCAACTGGGGCCACCCGTGGCACACGGGAGTGTCCAGAGTGTGGCACCTCTGCAGCACTGCACTGTACACTACTGCCCTAGTTAGCTGCAGGCACTATTAGCTTAGCCAACGTCCCACCGCGGCCAGGGGGAGGGGGAAGCAAAGGAGATTGTTTGGGGGAGGGGGGCGGTATTGGGCAAACCTTATCCGAATTACCGGAGACGTAATATATGCCTTCCTAACCACATCTGAAATATTCACTTCTGCTTTAATGCCCTAGGCAGGAAAAAAAAAAAAAAAAAAAAAAAAAAAAGTGATAGTTGTAACTTTAATTTATAGCTCTTAAAATAATTGTTTGAGGAGAATAATCCCGCCTATGTTTATGGATTATGGTATTCGGCACATCTCACTGGAAACAGTATTAATATTTCATATATAATAATACATAAAGTAATAAGACCAAGTTCACTTCTTCCCTTTGTTTAAAAAAACAATTTTTCCACTCAGTGGCAGAGCAGAATATTGTTAAGTGGGCTTGCTACCTTCAACGATGAATTTAGCTGTGCAAATATACTCTAAATTAAGATAAAAGCCTCCTAACAAAGAACTATCTTCTGTTCATTTAAAGTTTCAGTGTAACTAGCAATCTGAAGAAGTCTAATGTGAAAAGCTGACATTAGTTCCTGAAGAGTTGTATTCATCACCTGTGAAGGAAACAAAGATGATAATAACATATAATGTGTTTTAACATCAGGATGTTAAAGATGGAGACCCCGTATCAAGAGTGTTGCCTCAGCACAAACTAAGCTATTCTCCAGCCAAGGAATTGAAGTAGTCCCCTTCTGAATGTATATGCACTTGAAAAAGAAATCCTAGCCTTGCTAAGGAATTACATTCTCCAGTTTTAGATGCCTGGCAAACTATTATCTCCTAACCCCCCCTTTGCCCCTTCCAGTATGCCCCTACCACCCACGCACAGCTGCACCCACCGTTAATGCAACGGAATTACCCTAACTTCAGAGACAATTCACAATCATTAGAGGCAGAATTTACCACTACCAATGTGCCTGCATCTCCCGAGAAAGGTCATCCTAAAGGCTTGTGAGAAACTTCTGAACTAAATTATAACAGAAGAGTCTCAAGAGATCCAAGTTTTTAACATTTTAATTAGCTCCAAGTACCAGTTAATGCTGCTCAGCAAAGGAATCAATATCAAATTAACAGTATAAATCGTCAGAAAAAATTGTGACGGTATTAAGGATACTAATCAATGTAAGCACTTCATGTTATGGCCCAGATTCTGCTTCTGCTAAAGCGAGAAGGAGTTTTGCCACCAAATTCAGGCAAAAAAGGGTCAGCCCTAATGTTTGGTAAGTCTTCATTTGAATCAGATATTGAGAATTTACTGAAAATTCAAAGTACCAGATAAAAATTCTGGATTTGTCATAGCAGCTGAGACCTAAGGCCACTCACTGCTTCTGTGTGAAATTGAACAACTTATGAAGGCACAGGCTGTCATTGGAAGATGTAACCCTTTACAAGTGTGCCGCAGAGTGAGATAAAGTCAGATCAAAATCCAACACCTAATACAGACACAAATGCTGTAAAAAAGACGTGTGGTTTTAAAAGCCTTGTCTTCAACTACCTACGCCAGTGATAAACTTTGTGTTTGTATTTTCCCCAGTCTGAGATAAATCTGTCAACTAAATACTTCCTCTACTGTGCTTCATTTGGAAGGTAAAATCATACAGCCGCACTTCAATTCCTAGCAGCAAGTCCTAATCAGGCACCAAAATACAAGACAGGGCTGCTAGTACAGAAACTGCCAGAAATGTTTCATCTATACGGTATTTCTGACCAATTTGTATGCTGAAAGTTATCACCTGATCTAAACCTAGACAGATTCAAAGAGAAAAATTAATTTCTCCGTAAAAGCATTGAACTTGCTGGCAAATTTACCTTCAGCCATCCATTCAAAAACTCCGTGTCAGATGCTGCTAGTATCGGCCCCAAGCAGCAACTGAACCTTGCCGGGATTTCCTTCTGCAAACAGTATCGGCATCAAGCAGCACCTGCATTTCTGCACAGCTTCAAGTACGTGACATTTCGGCGTCCAACAGACGCTGACAGATGAACAGGAAAACGAGAAGGAAAAAAAGATGTTCTGGAAATCACTTCAAATGTGCTTTACGTGCAGCTCTGGCTCCTGGTAGGCCTTATAAGACTCTTTTTTGAGGGTAAAACCCTGCCTGCCTGCAACGTGCTTTTGCACGCACTGAGTAAACAAGCCACAACACCAGATTTTTTTCCCCCCTCACTTATTAAAACGGAGTACTCTTAGCTGCTCACTGTCGCAGTGCTGGACAGAAAATGCTGGGCTATCAGTAGACGGTGCTCTCATACACTGGCAACGCAGGAATCGCAAACCAGGCATTCCCGTGGCTGATCAGCCAATAGCCCCATGCTTTGATTAACTTCATGAAGAAATGTCAAAACCTGAATTTCCCTCCACTGCCTTTGAGGAACACATGGGCAAAAAACTGAGCGTTTTCTTGACAAGAATAATGAAGCCGTTCTGTATTTGAGCTTTGAGACTCAGACTGACCATGCATAAAAGCAATTGTTCAATTCCATCATGAGTTACCTCTGGTGTTTCCATAACTCTTAAAAAAAAAAAAGGCAAAACAAACCCCACACACCTTATAAATATTTTTTCATTTTTTCTTTCTCTCTCTCCCTCTTTCCCTGCTTATGCGCTTGTGCATCACAAAAGCCAGCTCCGCTCCAGCGTGTACTCTGCCCCCAGAGTAACAGCCCTCACCGCTTGTACTGTACAGCAACAGGAAAGAGACAAAACTTTCCTTAATCCCTCCCTTAAAAAAAAGCAAAGCGGACAGGGCGACCACCACCAGCACCATCGCCCGGCGGGCTGCTGTCGGGGCCAGCCGCCAGAACCCCGCTCCGCATCCTGCACGGGCAGCCCGCCCGTCGGGGCGGCGCGGCGGGAGCGCCGCGGCCCCGGGATCCCGCCTCACCTTCCACCCGGCCGAGCTGTTGCTGTCGCCCTTGTCCTTGAAGTAGGGCACGCAGCGGACCATCCAGTCGTAGATCTGGGAGAGAGTGAGGCGCTTCTCCGGGGAGCTCTCGATGGCGCGGGTGATGAGGTCGGCGTAGGAGAGGTTGCCCCACGCGTTGCGCCGCGACGAGCACTTCCTCGGCGCCGCCGCCGGGCCCCCGCTCAGCCCCCCGCCGCCTGCCGCCGCCGCCGCCGCTCCCCCCGGCGAGAGGCTCGGCCCCTCCGGGCCGCCGCCGGACAGCGGGGCCAGCAGCCGCGCCGCCTCCTCCGGCACGGCGGTGGTCGCCGCCGCCGCCGCCGCTTCTCCGCCCGCGGGGNGGGGCCAGCAGCCGCGCCGCCTCCTCCGGCACGGCGGTGGTCGCCGCCGCCGCCGCCGCTTCTCCGCCCGCGGGGGCCGCGCTGCCGACGGTCATGGCCGAGCCGGCCCCCTCCTCCTCGTCGTCCTCCTCCTCGGGGATCATGGAGGCGGCGTCGGCGGTCGACTCGCCGGCAGGCTTGGCTGGGCTGGCCTGCAGCTCGGGCCTCTGCAGGGGCCAGGTGCAGGAGCGGGGGCGGCTCTGCGGCTCGAACTCGGGGTCCAGCTCCACGTCCAGGGGCGAAAGCGGGGCGGGGGGCGACGCCTCTGCCATCTTGGCCTCCCCCGCGGGCAGCTGCGGGGCGCTGCGACGGGGCGGGCGGGCGGCCGCCGACCCCGCTCCTCCTCCGCCGCCTCCTCGGTGCCGACGGGAGCCTAGCAGGCGGGGAGCCGCCGGGCGGGCATGCCGCGCTCCGCTAAGGGCTGGCCGGCTCTCCGCTGCGCCCCGAGCCCCGCTCCCCGCGGGCGATGCGCACGCCGGAGCTGGGAGGCGGGGGTAGAAGGGAGGGAGGGAAAAAAAAAAAATCAGATTAGGAGCCGGAGCGGCCGCGCAGGGCGGCAGCACGGGCCGGGCGGTGCCGGAGGTGCCCGCGGCGCTGCCCTCCGCGCCGGCGGAGCGGCGGCTGCTCCCGCGGTGCGTGTGTGCGTTTGTTTATGTTTCACTCCATGCGGATGCAGAAGTAGCTCCAGCGGGAACCGCGCTGTATCCAGCCGGGAGAGGACCCCCCCACGCCCCCAGCGCCTCCGAGCTCGCTCTTCGTCGCTTCCGCAGATGTCTTGCCTTTTGGGGTGGGGGGGAGTAGTCCTTTGCGCCCTCCGTCGGCAGGAGGGCAGCGAGAGGGGTCCTTTGGGTTATGCCGAAGACTTTTTCCTTCTTCAAAACGCCCTAAAGGGAGCCGAAGTCTTAGTACATCCAACTGCACACTAGCGTAAACCTGTCACTTTGCGATGCCCCCAAGCCACAAGCAAGCAACCCCCCAAAATCTTACAGTCGACGGACCAGGGGGCAGGAGAAGGCCACCTCGGGGGCTGGTCGTTTAAAAAAAAATAGTAATAAATCCTCCTTCTTGCAGGGAAAAAGCAAACTCAACGGGAACAAATCAAATCGCCAGTCTTCCAACAGGTCCAGTAGCTTTAAGCCCTCCCTAGGGCTGCCAAAGAGAATAGGTTTTGTTCCAGCATCAACACCACATTCATAACCTCCTTGCTCCTGCTGCTGCCATCTTGACAGTTTTTCCCCCCTTCACTTAAGTCATTTAAAAAGCGCAGGCAGACGAGGCAGGGGAAGCCACATCGGGAGGGGCGGGAGGCGGCGGGGGGGTGCTGGATCGACAGCCACCTCCACAACCGGCAGCAATCGAGATCCGAATTCACGGGAGGAAGAAGCAGCGCTGCTGCATGGTTCCTGCTGCTCCTGCGCCTTCAGCTCCAGAGAGCCTTCCCTTTAAAGGCGAAGGATGGGAAAACGGCAGAGCGCCCGCTCCCCCTGCGAGCAGCCGGCGAGAGGCAAGCGATCCGCCCGCGCCCAGCCCGTCCGCCGCCGCAGCCCGCCCGAGCAGCCTGTCACCCTGCTCGCCGCCGACTTCCACATCCCTCCTCCTAACAACCACCGGCAGCAACACAAAGTTATAGACACACGCAGGGAGACTCAACCAAACCGCACGGCTCGGCACGGCCCGCCCACGGGCGGGCGGTGCCGCGCAGGAGCCGCCCCAACGGGGAGGGAGCGTCGAGATGGGGGGAGCCGGCGGAGCTGGGCGGGCTGGAGAGGCTGCTGGCACCTGGCGAGGGCAGCGCTTCTCTGCTCGTTGTCCCTGCGGCTCCGGAGCCCTATCCGGCTGGCCTGGTGGAAAGCGATCAAGCCTCTCCGAGTACCCGGTAAATCTTTCCAAGGGTTGTATTAGTTCTGTTTCTTTTCTGTACCTGTTTCCACTAGTCATAAGTTATTGGTGCACGAGCTGTTCTGGTAAACTTTAAAATATAGAGTCTAACTTAGTAATTATTTGCAAACTTTGCATGTGAGTGATGCCAGGAACGTGTTCAGACATGTCCACACGTGAATACAGTCCAGCTGTACCTCCTCCTTGGAGACCATGTCCTACCAGAAAGCCCTCTAAAATAGCTCAGTTAAAGATGTAGTTAATTATGGGTTGAATAAAGGGGTGACCCACAAAACCAAGGAACACAAAAGCTATTAATATAGGTGTAGTTATAAATACTTCACATGGCAGCTTCTATGTATCAGTTCTCACCCGGCTTGAAATCGACCTAGACTGTGGACTAGATTTAGTCCAACAGTAGCATTGTCTCTGAGACAAGAAGACTGAGAAGCAGGTGTGCTTCTGAAGCTTTGCTAGATAGAATTAGCAGACAAATTCAGCTATTCCTGATGTATTGCATTATAGACAAGTAGATTTGAAAACCATTCGATTAGAAAACAGCAAGGCCATGGTCCGGCATGCCTTATATGTCCTGCTAAGTAAGGCCTAAGGCCCTAAGAGTCTAGTTAGGTTTTGAATTCAAGTGGCACTGAAGTTAGGAATAGTTCAGTGTGATTTTATTACAAGGGACATCATTTCAGCATGCATACAATTAATCCCTGGTTATCTAAATATAGTAGGAGACACTAAATTAATCAGAATGAATGCAGGTTTGAGTAATGGAAATAATTTTCACTGCAACTCCATTTTGGGTCACAATGTTGAGTGCCTTGCCGTGGCTTTTGTTGTAACATGGCCCCTACAAGAATGCAAAGCAGCTCAAAAAGACACCAGCCACTCTGCAATTGGGACACTGGCATTCATGTGTATGATTTAGCCGTTGGTAGGGAGGGAAACCACAGTGGCATTGAAGAGCCAGCAACCAAATTCAGACAAAAAGGCGTGGTGAGAAAATGCTTAGTCCAACACCACATCTCCAAGGAGCCTTTCCTTGTGGCTTTCAGCAGTTAGCCAGAGAAGGCTGGCTGTGAAATTGTGTCTGGTTCTCAGCCCTTTCCCAAAAGTAGCTACTGCTTGGGGCTGATTTTGACCACTGTAGAAACCTCCACATGGAGTACATCCTGAGATTCCAGGGAAGCATAGTACTTTGACCTTGGGCTGGGTTACAAGCAGCAAATCTAGTCCTAAATGATATTATCATCTTCATTTATTTATTTAATTGGCATTGCATTACTCTACAGGCCCTGCTATTAGGTCTCATTGTACGGGATGAAGGCCCTGCACGTGGTAAGAAATGCTCCACTCCCTGGCAGAATTGCAGTCTTAAGTGAGGCAGGAGAGGGCGGGAGAAAGGAAATAAGTAAGTAGTAACCCTATTAAAAAGATGATGGACTGAGGCACTGAACAATTACATGACTGTACTGAGGTCATACAGGAAGCCCATGCCAGAACTGAGAAATAAAACTGGATCACCTGAATGCCAGCCTTGAGCAAGATTATCTGTCCTCTTCAGAATTCACTGGTATATCAGTCACACGACCTTTATCACACATCATGGTACCAGTTCTTCAGAGCTCCATGCACCACGTGTGTGCCCATGATAATGCCATTTAGGGGCATAATTAAAACCACAGTATAATTGTTCCTACACATTTTGCTTATGGAAAGTGCATGAGCAAAACATATAGACACAGGAGATCTGCTTATTGTCATTCCATGGCTGGGCCCTCTGAAATACACGTAAAAACTGATCAAAATTGAATCTAAAGCCTGCACAATTTTCAGACTCTTCCTTTAAGTACTTTCATGCCCCAAGGGTAGGATTTTCCAAAAGGCTCCATTTATGGGAGTTTTATCACTGACTTGAACAAGAATAAAGTTAGGCCAGCCCTCAGGCCATTTGAAAGCCAGCTCACTTACTTTGCCTACTTAGACTTCCAGCGTTCTAGGGCAGGGCTGTGTCTTCCTCTGCATCTCCTTTTATCAACTACAGACGCTGAGGCTGATGTGGAGAACATCTGTGCCTACCACAGTATCTAGATTATATGGATCTGGCAGGGTCACAGTCACATGGCAGCTAGAGGAGTGCAGGTGACATTTCTGGCTTCACCTCACACAAGTATCTTAACTGCAGAAGCAGGGTTGGAGCTAAAGTCTCATGGGGGGTGGGAGACCTGAAATTTGTCAGTACAGCATTATGGACATCTCCTGTAAAGCGTACTGCTGCTCAATAAATGAATGTTATATTGCACTTACGTTAAACAACGGCTGTATTGTTGTTTTGTAAGGCACCTGCAGCCTGGTCGCTGAACAGTTTGTGTCTCCTGCAATAACCCTGTGTACCCCTCCCAATCTCGCTGTGACAGAGTGGCTCCCTTAGTGTGTTTTTTGTTGTTCCCACAGTTGTTCCTACTGTGTCTTTTAAACACAGACTGGGCAACAGGCAATAGGCTTTTGTGGCTGATTCAGAGCAACCTGGATGCTGATGATTAGAAAGAAATGTAATTTATAAACCAGCCAAATTCATACACTGGGACTTCAACTTTTTGGCCCAGTTTGGCTAAAACTGGCTAATGGATTTCACAGTTGTTATGGAAAGATTGGCTGACTGGCAGACACAGAGCAAGGGTTCAAATTGTACCAGGGAAACTTGATGGGTTTGCCAAAGATGGCCACATATTTCTAACTATAAAATTTTCCCTGAAGTGATGAACAGCAACTTAAAGATCACTTCAAGTTGGACTCTCTCAGCATTATTTATGAGGCCTGCAATACTGGTATTTCCCTGAAATCCCTCTTCATAATGTCCCATTGAAGGAGCATCTCAGCTTCCATTTTAAACCAATAGCCAAGTTCTTGATGCACCATGGATGTGACCCAAATATACTCTGAGGGCCAGGAAGAAAGGTAAGAGGTGGGGAAAAAATAAAAACTAACCACCTTTTTAAACCCTTTGTAAAAACCTGCTCTTTAGGCTGACATTGCTCAAAATCTTGCTTTGTAATTTTTAAATACTCGGGGGGTACATGCAGTTCTTGAGTTTTTACTATCAGGGTGCAGCCAAATTGCTCAGATATAGCAAGAAACTCCACTTTATTATTCATTTTAGGTTATGTGAAAGAATTTTGACTTGTGAAGATAGACTGCTCTCCCCCTTAGCTTTGGCTGGTCCGAGTGACCAAACTCCGTTCTGCCCCGCCACTGACTCCTTGTGCAATGCGGCCGTGTCCACTTAAACCCGTCTCGTTTACCCCACGTGGGGTTAATTATACCCACTTATCGCTTAATTGCTCCGTCATTATAACTTAACACCTTCCTGCGCCCACACAGCGCGGGGAGGGGGAGAGGCGGCGCTGGCCCCGCTCCGGCCCCGCCCCCGCTCCAGCCACGCCCCGGCTCCAGCCCCCGC